GGCACCCGCCTCCCCCGCCTCGGCCGGCGAGGGTTAAGACGTTTCCTGAAAATTTGAGCGAAACCTGTCGGATTTTTTTTATGAAAATGACGTTTTAGTGACGTCATGTCCGCCATTTTCGCCAAAAAAACGGCAATATCTTCATTTTTAAAGGAATCAAGACGTAACAAAAAAGGTTATACGTGTTTCTACTTTGTCTTTCAAATCGTTATCTCTTTTTTTAAATTTTGGATTTTTGCTCCATTTTTTAAACTGACTTTTTTGGGAAAATAATTATAAAATCAAAAATTTTGAGTGTATCGAAAAACCGGAATATATGTCAGAGAAGTGGTCTATGTGCACCTACATACCAATTTTTAGAAGAATCGGTTAAAAATGTGGGAGTTATTCAAAATTTTATGACGTCACGACACACAATTTTTTTTTGAAAAATGATTTTTTTGGAAGTTCTAGACCACGCACGGAAACAAAAATAGCACCATTCGATTCGCCGTGAAAACCTGCATCAGATAGACACCTTTTTAGGGCTTAACAACCAACTTCAAAATTTGACCTCACTTGACCTAACCTTGACCTGACCTCGACCTGAAATTCATCCAGATGTAGTCAATATCACTTATTGAGTGTGCCTATTGAATTCTATGAATAAAATGACCCATAAAACATGTGTCGCACATGTCCTTTTCTATATTTCGTTTTTGGTGACCTGACCTGACCTTGACCTTGACCTTTGCATGACATTGTATTGTATGCAACGAATATTGTCTTGGTAGCCTAAGAACACGTTTTGGGCAATTAGTCTCAGTCCATTCTTCGGCAACTACGGTGCAAGGCCGATACTGTAGAAACTTGCATTTTGTACCCTTGACCTGGCCTTGATCTGACCTCTGACCTACTTCAGTAAAAAATAGGCTCTTAAGATCCGCCTTGTTGAGAGCTTTCGATTGTCGTTCTCCCCGTATTTCTACGACCATCTGTTCGGAAGTTAGACAGGGGGGCAGAATCTGCCCCCCCCCCCCAGCAGGGTGCGTATGGCTGAATAGCCCAGCGGGGCGCGGGTTAACGTCTAAATTCTGAATACCTATATATCGGTAACATATAGGTAGCTATAGATATAGCCTACTGAACCAACTAAATATGTATGAAAGTCCCCCGTGCAATTTATCACACACCGCACATATTCTGGGAATCAATCTATTTCGATCAAGATTGCTGAACATTCGATACATTCGACAATCGACATGCAGGTTTGAAGGAAGTCGCCAGGTGCTTTTGAGCTTCATGCCGTCAGCTGTGTTTTACCTTGGTTTTACCTATCCATATCTTCACGCAAGCTTGTGCGAACGCGGCGCCATCTGCCTAACTCTAGCTTCCTAAGGCAACCACCAGGTGAAACACGGTGAACACCTCACCTGTGTGTCTGAAAGGAAAGGCTAATAGGGTGAAGCATTTGTCCTGTCTAGTGTCTCCTAACGCGTCTCTCCGTTTCCGCAGTCATCAGAGCGGTATGGAGGTGTACCGCGTGCTGGCACTCCGCACATGCGTTCTTGCATATAATCCTTATCTCATGCTGTGTAATGTTTCATGTCTCTTGTAAATTGTTAACTGTTTTCGCCATAATTTTATCTCAAGCATGGGTGTCGATTTGTATACTTTTGGGGGTGCTGCAGCACCCCCAATGCTCAAATGAGCACCCCCAATGGTTTTCCGGGCACCCCCAAATGTTTCAGTCAGCACCCCCAATTATTTTGTCCCTCAATAACTCCCACTAACTCTGCTTGAGGAAAATAATTGGTTCCGCAGTCTTTCACTACTAAAAATAAAACAATTACGCAATTTACAATGCATGAAATAAAAATGTAAAGAAAAGATAAGTTAGTCTTAAGAAGAAGGGCGAAAAAAAGACGTTAAGTTGCAGACTGCAGAGACACTGGTGTGGGTCCGTCGTACACGAGTGTCTGACCCTTAGAGCTGATAACGCGTACCCTTTACAAGCCGGCAGGGGGCTCCAGATACCGGCGACGGGCCCTCAGAGGCCGGCAAAGGGCCATCAGATGCCGGTGGTACCTTCAGAAACCCTGTGGGGTCGTCTTTAGAGACCGGCACGGACTCAGACGCCGATGGGGCCCTCAGAGTCGCCGGTGTGGGGCCTTCAAATGTCACCGGTGGGTGGCCGTCATATGTGCACTTGTGGGCAGGGTTGCGGAGCAGTGGAAATTTCAGACGGCTCCGGCTCCGGAGAAAAAAATCGGCTCCAGCTCCGGCTCCGGCTCCGGGTGAAATGTCAATACGGCTCCGGCTCCGGCTCCGGCTCTGAGTAAAATGGTCCGGCTCCGGCGGCTCCGGCTCCGGCTCCGGCTCCTACTCAGTACATTCCCTATGCGATTAATTAAATACGGGTGGGAGAAAAAAGACGATTGGATTGGCACACGTTGTTTCTGCATTTGCATAACAAGGATATTTGGAATACCACATGTTTTACTGCTTTGTACTGTCAAACCGAGTTAGGTCAATATTTTTTTTCCTCGGAGCCGGAGTCGCCCCTTTTTTGACGGCTCCAGCTCCGGCTCCGGGCTGTGTTGTTTCACGGCTCCGGCTCCGGCTCCGGCTCCGGCTCCGGGCAAAATATACTGGCTCCGGCGGTTCCGGCTCCAGCTCCGGCTCCGGCTCCGGCTCCGCATCCCTGCTTGTGGGGCCTTCAGAAGCGACGGTGTTGGGCCCTCAGAGCCGCCGATATAGGGCCTTAAAGGAAATAGTTCACTTTCCTGAAATTAGTATTTTGCTATGGATTTATGTTTTTTTATGCTCAAAATGATCAGAAAATAAAACCAAACGTTTTTGTAAAAAAGATTATTTTCTATATTTTAGTATAAGAAGAACTATACTCTATATAAAATAATGTTTGACGCGGAAGCTTATTACGCGTTGACCAATCATATTGCGTAGGACAAACCCATCGGCTGTAAGCAGCATTCTGATTGGCTGACGATGACGTGACTGCATTCCTCAGCAAGGCACGCATTCCTCTGCAAGGCACTCTTTTCGGAACGAAAAATGGAATATCTTCGTCTAGGGTGATCGTTGGGCCGTAAAAGCTTCTGATTTGTGCTAGTCTCAGCGCAAGCAACAAAACTGCTATTCCAGTTCCAAACCCCATGTTAAAAGTGAACTATTTCCTTTAAGAGGCACTAGTGCGGGGCCCTCAGATATGGCAATGCAATGTATGGCCCTCGGAGGCGCCGGTGTAGGTGCTCCACAGTTGCCGGTGATGGCCCTCACAGGCGCCGTTGTGGGGGCTCTCAGAGACACTGGTTTAGGGCCATCACAGGCGCGCGTGTGGCCCTCAGAACTGCTGTTACGGAACGGACCCTTCATAGGCCGACAAGAAGATATCAAGAGGTCACCGGTGCCTTCAGGAGCCTTGTGGGGTTCTCAGAGACCGGACATGGTGCTCTCAGACGCCGCTGTGACCCTCCGAGTCACCTGTGTGGGACCGTCAGGGTCGCTGGTAACTGACGAGGGTATCGTCGTCAGATCCGGGGTTTGGGTCGATACGGCTCTATTCCGGCTAGCCAGTATATGCCGTAGCGCTCCCGGGTTGTTATGGTTCCGAACCGCCAAGTCTGGCTCAAGTCAGACTCCCTGCCATGGCTCAAGTCCGGCTCCCTACGACCAGGTCCGGCTGCACCTCATAGCTGCTCTGGCTTACTGTGGCTGAAGTACGGTGGAGGTACGGCACGGCTGATGCGGCATAAGTCCGGCTGTGATGCGGGCGAGCTCCGGTATCGTGTGTCAGCTCCCGTAGGGCCCCAGACCTTGCCCATACTTTAGCCGGAGCAAATGCCGGAGCTAGCCAGAGTAAGACCTGCAGCTACGGCCAGGACCAAATTTGCTGGCTGGGAATAGGCCGGTTAAGACCCCCATAGTCCGACATGTGGCCCTCCGAAGCCGGTAAGGGGCCCTCAGAGGCCGCCAAGTGGCCCTCAGAGACTGGCTTGGGGCCCTTGTGGAGATCTTAGTGTTGGTACTTGTGGGCCCATGAGGGGTTTTTACGAGCCCCGTGGATCCCTTCTATGTCCAAATATGGCCAGCATTGACCCTTAGCGGCCAATTGGCGCTTCAGGGCCCCTCATGCCCAAATAACCCGAGGGGACCCTGAGGCCCGAACCTGATGGGGGTGGGGGGCACGTGCCTCACGGCCCACCTGGCTACGCCACTGGGGAAAATCGTAAACCCGTAAATATCCAAATGCGATCACCTGTCATTTTTTTATCGATATTGGGATCGTCTGATTACCGCCAGAGCCTCGTAGCTACCGTTGCCTCCGCGCAATGTCCGCCCCTGCGGACCGCAGCGGCTGCTGCACCAGTGCTGATCACCGTCATTGGTTTCTGTCACCTTATTACAGAGGTGTCGGGGCTGCTGCCATGCTGCCGGCAAAGATATTTTTTCGGAAAGATGTTTATGTAATCAGGTAGCCAAGTACTAGGACGAGCAGAATGATTTTCAAGAAGAACGTTCTGCCCTTGGGAAATGTTAGTATATAGAAATCCCGGCATTATCAGTACCTTATGGGGATAACCAACCCCACCTTGTACGGTTGTGCCGCATGGCAAAGCTGCAATCTGTCACCCGTTGCAGGGGTTGAGCACCCCCAACCATTTTGAAAAATCGACACCCCTGATCTCAAGCGTTCTATAGTGTTGACATGTGACGTGTGGAGCTGTGGTTTCCCGTCCGCTTCACGTGCTATCGTTTAGCTATCATTTGTGCTGAGAAACGTCGCTCCTGACGGAAGTGCGGAGTCCCGACGGGGCTATCTGTCGGCGCTCGGCAGTGGGACCTGACCAGCACTCGGGGCTGTGAGAGTGGGCCACCTGCCGCCGGCCGGCCAGCCGCTCGCTCGCGCCCCTTATATCTCTGTCCCGCCGAGCGTCATTAGGGCGCGACAGACAGTGGGGTCGACATCACCGCCCAGACGTGTGTCTGTTGTGTTACAGAGTGTGTGCAGCCCTCCGTCCGCCTGCCGACGTCATGTCCATCGTCGTGTGGTCGCTGCTGCTCACGGCGGTGGCGGCCGCAGCGGCCGACCCCACGCCGCCCCTGCAGGTCGTGCTCTACTACGAGTCGCTCTGCCCCGACTGCCAGGCGTTCGTGTCTGGCAGCTTCGCCGAGGCGTGGCACGCCGTGCCCGAGATCCTGAACGTCACACTGGTGCCCTGGGGGTTCGCCACAGCCACGCCGGACGGCGCCGGCGGCTGGACGTTCCAGTGTCAGCACGGCCCGGCCGAGTGTCGCGGCAACAAGCTGCACGCGTGCGGCGTCTATCTGGCTCCCAGCCCGGCCGTCTCGGTGGACTTTTCCATCTGCCTGGAGTCGCAGATGGCCGGCGAGCAGTGCGCCCAGCAGACGGGGCTCGACTGGCTGTCACTGACCGACTGCCAGCTGCGGAGGGACACCGACCAGCTGATGATCCCCTACCGCGACATGACGGACGCGGCGCGGCCGGAGATCGTCGAGGTGCCCACCGTCAGCGTCGACGGCCGCCAGGAGCACCAGGGGCAGATGCTGGACGACTTCCTCGGCTACGTGTGCTCGGTGTGGCAGGGCGACACGCCGGACGGCTGTCCGCCAGCGCGCTAAGACAGCGGAGACCGGAACAGACCGGTTCGGCTGCGACTAGGTGATGTGCTGTGGCTGAAAATAGTGAAACGGGGGAGCGAAATATGTCTTCTAAACAGTGCTACAATGCGTCGTGATTCTGTGCCTTTTTCCGGACTGTTCTTTTTTTACGTGCCCTTGTTGAGAGGGATGTGCCGTCCAAACCAACCCAATCGTGAGGGGGAACTAGCTGATGCATTAGACGACACATATAAAAAAGTTTTAGGTGCCAAAGATCCAGGGCAGCGTTTGTGGGTGGTTGCTACTTTCCGGGATACAGGGCTCACGTCTACGTGGTTGTGCTCTTGCTTCTTACCACCGAGAGCAATACATGGCTTGTGAGGAGACTGCGATCTTTTATTTCTAACGTGTGCTCCTTGCTTACCGAACAATAAAACATACCTACAGTCGGTAAAACGTCAAGTTGTTTAAATCTCTCACTTATCCAATATTCGAATCATGTACATAGTGCTATAGCGAGACATCCAAGGCTATTATTTATTCAGACACATGGATCGTATTTATTTATTCGGATCATTTATTCGGACCATTCAGGTGTTGGCCGGCTGGCGTTCTCTCGGGCGTCGGTCAATGTACAATTATTGGCCATACCATAGAACTTGGAAGTTCCCATTCCCCATTCCAGTAGAAACCACCGTCCATCGCAAAACACCAGCTAGCCAATGGGATTATATTTGATAGGGCACTAAAACTGTTTTGTCACATCGATCTCACGTTTGTGTAACATTAACACATAGCTTAACGTGAACAGCTACAAAAATACACTCCACCCCCGGCGGCCCGCGCGCAACAAGAACCGGATGAACAGCGGGGTGGGTGCAGAAGGGGCACGGCGGCGAGGGGGCAGGCGGACCGCACCTCGGCTCTGGCGGTCACCGTGCCAGCGGGGCCGCGCAGTACCGGAGAGCTGGCCGCAGCGGACAGCGGGGCGACCGCAGCGGACAGCGGGGCGGTCCCAGCGGACAGCGGGGCGATCCCAGCGGACAGCGGGGCGACCACAGCGGACAGCGGGGCGACCGCAGCGGACAGTGGGGCGGTCCCAGCGGGTCCCGCAGGGCCGCTCGGCAGTTTGGAGGAGGCAGGGGCGGCGCGAGGCAGCGAGGAGCGATAGCAAGCGCACAATTTAGAGAGACTGAGAGCTGCGGAGCGGAGGGCGCGGTGTGTAGATTCCCAACTGGCATCAGACCTTACCCGTACGTTTGAAGCGCCGCCGGCGGCCGGCGGGCGGCGCGGCCGCTCGGCTGCCCAGGTAAGCTCGCGCGGGCGGCGGCGGCGGCCGGGGTCGCGCGCGCCGCCCATTGCTCTACACAGCGTGGCGGCGAGACGGAGTCCGCCAGCGCCGGCCGACCGCCGGCACACAGCTGCTACGACCCAGTTACAAAAGCGGCGGCGACGGCGCACAATGCTTGCTTCATACTAGCGGCAGGGGTGGCGGTGCGAGGGTGCGGCGGCGCTCCGGGGAGCGGCCGCCGGTGACCCCGGCTGCTCGCACGCGCACGCCGCGCCAACCCACTGGCCGAACGACCCGGGCAGCAGCACACACACGGCCCAGCGTGCATATTCTTATTTACAGGTATCACAAGCGCTGCGGCGGCGAGCGGGAGGGAGGGTGGGTGGGTCGGGGCTGGGCTCGATACGGCGCCGGTAGACGCGCCGCCTTTCGATGTTCCGGTGCTAGTATCGTTGTTGATATATAGTCATTATAAAACTATCAAAATGCAACCAGTCCCGAGACAAACCACTCTGGGTGGGGCGCGGCGGCCCATTTTGATTTGTGCATCATTAGCTAGTCGCGGTGTGAGCGGTAGGCGGGGAGGGGGGCTGAGCGAGGCACAGGGCGCGGGCCGGTGGCGCCTGCCAGCAGGGTACACAGCACGGCCGGCGCTCGGAGGCACACACAAAGCGGGGGCGAACAACGCGCGGCGGGCTGCCCGCAGGCCGACCTACGACCGACTACCGTGTGACCTAGCGCCCACCCGGGCCGGGCGCGCCTCACCCCAGCGGGGGCGCCGCGCCCCCGGCCGAATAACGCACCTCGAGAAACAGGCAACGCTCTCGGTAACACCGAATACGAACAAGATCTGCCTAGGCGTAACACGTCTCGAATATGGAGAGAGAATCCATCCCGGCGGCGCCGCGCCACGCTCCAAACCAAACTAAGTACCTCACTTATGGAAAGAACCGTGTGTGTCAATTCATTGACGACATAACGTTCGCGATTACTGTACACTAAATACAATCAGATTATCTGTCTGTACTGAACACATGAGTGGAACTCTCCAGATGCCCTTTCAGCATATATAATTATATATATATATATATATATATATATATATATATATATATATATATATATATATATATATATATATATATATATATATATATATATATATATATATATATATATATATATATATATATATATATATATATATATATATATATATATATATATATATATATATATATATATATATATATATATATATATATATATATATATATATATATATATATATATATATATATATATATATATATATATATATATATATATATATATATATATATATATATATATATATATATATATATATATATATATATATATGCTGACAGGCAAAAGCCGCGTTCACGGTATTTGTACGATTGTAAAGGCTCTGTTTCGCTCGGAGTCGGAAGCGGCTGCGGTGCTGCTACGCTTTCTCCGGGCGCCAGCCCAGGCCAGCTCTGAATATATACACTCACACGCACACACACAGAGCCTCCTACCCAATATATACTATGTACATGTGCATATGTAGGTGTGCATGCGCTAACGTACTGCACGCGCCCAGCGCTACCGCGCGTGTGCACACCGGCACACCAGATCCCCACGCCGACGGCATCGGTCCCCGCTTCGTTCCATCGCCTCTGCTGCCGTCAGTGGCGAGCCGACACCGGGCTCGGTCCGAGGACCGACCCCCGCGGCGGCTGGCCAACATCCCGACTGTCCCTCGGCTGCCAGACGGCAGCGCCACGTCGCCCGTGCGGCCGACACACGTACTACTGGTTCGCCTTGCGGCCGCTGGAGGCGCTGGCCGCGCTGCTGGTGGCTGCGGCCATTCGTCCGGGCAGACGTAATGGCACTTTGTGCTGCGCTTTGCTGCAACTCGGTATCTGAAAAAAAGGGGAAATTTGGTCAAACCTAACTGCATCTGGCGCGACTCGCGACGACAGGTTCGATTAAACGGGGAACGGCGCCCGAGCCCAACCCAGCAGGATTCAGGAATGAAAAGTAGCAGACATGCCAAGGTTCATGCAGCAAATTGAGAGAAGTTCATGCTATATGCAGGGCATTGTGTGGTGCTTGGAAGATTCCAGCCGGGCGTAGTCAGTTGTTATAAAGCGAGTGTATGCAAAGAAGAGCTGGGTCGATGAGGCAGCTCCGCATTGTCCTATTTAGCGATCATCGCTAGCGGACGTCTTTATGTAAAAAGGCCCGGGTATGTCACTTCTGCCTATCGGACGCTGCATGAGGCGTATAAGACTTCCGTTCTGCCATTCCTGCAGATTGTAAGTCCGTCTGGCAATAACCTTAAGGCAAAGCAATGGCAGCATTGAAGCGCGCACTAGGGTGAACCAATTCACCACCGTCCCTTGCTGTGCCGGTCGAACAACGTCACAAAACTCGACCCAGGCTAACCCACCAGCCGTGCCCAGGCGCTGACCCACCACCCATCCTACTTCACCCCGCCGTATCCGGCACGCAGCACGCAGCGGCGGCGCCGCAACTCCAGCAATGCATTCTTAATACTGACACTTCCAGCCCTTTAAAACTTGGCAGCTGAAACGAAAACTTTTCCGATATGCGACCGCGTCCGTCGCCTGCGCTCCCTCCCGGCCGCTCCCCAGTCGGCGGAGCCGGCACCGCTGTCGATATGCGTGAACCGGCACGGAAAATCAGAATTAAGTGCGGCTAGGCACGCATCGGCTGCGCCAGCTTGAGAGATGTCGATACACACACGCACACAAGCAAGGGAACCGAACAAGGGAGCAGGCGGAGGGTTGGGCGGGAGCCGGGTTGGTGCCAGCCCCCGCCCCGGACTGCAGTGAGCGCTACCGTCAGCATGAGCACCCAGCGGTGGTTGCCGTCCGATGACGGCTGCTCGCAGCTACAGACTAAGCCCCCAGCATCAGCATTCAGCACCAGCTCCCAGCAACAACACCAGCTCCCAACACCAGCTCCAGTTTCATCACCAGCACCACGGTAGTGCTGGCACCAAGTCCCACCGGGCTGAGGGCGCCGACGGTCCTTTCTCAACATACAGCGGCCTCGGGCGGCCGCTGAGGTCCACCACACGCTCGAGGACAAGCACACTACACCGCCAGGTAGGTATACATAGTTGCAGCGGGCCCGACAGGGGCGGGGGCGGGGGCGGGGGCGGGCGCCTGACCTCGCCGCCGGCCAAGGCCGCCGTGGTTCGGGCCGTCGCCACCAGGGGGTGTGCAACATTCGAGCTCCTACGGGCGTCTCGTCTAACTTGGCGGACCGACCAACCGACTGACCGACCGACTAGGCGAGCGAGGGAGCGACCGGTCCAAGGTCGATGGGTCAGAGTTCGTTTTTTTTTTCTTCCTCCGAGGAACTCTGAAATAGGAGTTAGGACTACACAGTAAATACCTCATAGCCCGTTTCTTCATATGCCATATCATCTGTTCATTGCTCACATCCCAGAGCTCCGTTCTGAAGGGGTTGGTTAGGTAGGACGCCCTGAGTGCCAGTGCTGGACGTTAGAGCCACCGCCACCCATGTCACGACACTGTGACAGCTGCTGGCTGCAGTGAGGTCGGCGCCAGCGTCGCAAGAGGCGGAGGTCACTCAATGGCCGGTGACGCGGCCTTGTAGACCTCTCTGAGGTCGGCACTTCTGCCTGAGGTCTGTGGTGGCCTGATTAATGCCTGAGGTTGGCGGTGGCCTGTCCTCAGAGGCACCTAGCCTCTCGGATGCGGCGGCGGCCGACAGATGAGGACTGAGACCGGCAGCGCCAGCCGGGGTGCCGCATAGCCGGCCGAGCCTGCAGTCGGCGGCCGGACGTTCAGCTCTCCAGGCGCTCCCTACAGCCATCACATAAATCGCCGCCAGCTGAAAATATAGCCGGCACTTCCCGGGATAAGACTTCATCATAAAAACTGTCCAGAGACCACTAGAGAACTTTGGAGAAGATAAGTAGGCCTGCCGAGAGGGCGGAGCACCACCCGGCGGCGCGGCGCGGCGTGAGGAGCGCGCTGCAGCCGCCGCCCACTCGCGCCAATTTAATGCAGATCATTTGAATTCTCACACTGGC